TTGTGTATTTGGGTAAAATAGGTTTTAAATTTCTTACTTTTTATCGATACTGATAAATTTTCAGCAGCATATTATGCAAAAATACTTTGAATAAGTATGTTTTTAAATATGAATTTTGTGATACTATATATATATATATACACACACATACACAGGGCCCATCAGAAAAATGTATGAACACCACTCTGACAGATGTATCATGGTATTTGTGTACTGGTTTCAAATTTAAATTGAATTATCATTACATTATGTAGTATGGAGTTTGCTTAATACAGGTAGATACTCTGATTACGGATTTGTGGCACACGATGTATGACAGTAAATCAAAATGACTTTACGGGACCTCAAAGAACATCCACACACAAAAAAGATAGTGCAGAAAATTTATTTAGATGGAGCTCCTTCATTGAAAAATTACAATGCACCAAAAGGAGGAGGCTCCCAGACCTGGCATGCTCAAGGCAGCCTTAATATGGTTGAAACACTCCAATTCCTGGAGGCCACCTGAGAAGGTGCCACCTGCTCTGGTCAACCCAGGGGGAATTAAATGTTTCACATAGAACATGGTCACAGTTAGACATTGACTATCCCCCAGTGTTGATCAAGGGGATCCCATCCCCCAAGGACAACCTTCTATATCTGATCATATAACGTCCCCACAACCAAGGGGCAGACAAGACAGTCCCTGCTGAGCCTAAACCTACCACTGAATAAACATCGGTTCTAGTAACTGTAATAACAGTTTATTTACCCCAGAAGTCAAGGCTGTCTACATATTGATCTAGTTAGTCTGCTGGGATTGCCAGTACCAGTTGACCCCCCAGGTGTGGTCATTCGAACATAGTTAGCCCTGACAAAGCTGGTTACCAGAGGCACCATGAAGAGGCCTATGTCACATTTGGACAGCGACAGGCTATATATTGTGCATCACTCCCTCGTAGCTATACCCACTCGGAGGATCCAGATCAAATCCTGGGTCTCCTCCCAATAAATGGTTCCGGAAATCTGATCCAGCCCCTCCTCGAGGGAGCACAGCTACCCCTGCCATCGAGAAATTACAGCAGCATAAGCAAGAAAGCAAAATATCTTAAATTATAAATTAATATATGCCAAGAGACAAAAAAAAAAAAAAAAAATCTCATGACTGGATGAAGGCAGTCATGCCACTCAGGATTAAACCTATTAGGGGGTAGAGTAACTTTATGATAATGGGTATTTATTTTGATTCTTTTTGTATTACATGTAATTAAATTTCTTTTCTAAATCATAAGATTATTAGAGAAACCACATAAAGTTTACTACTTTTTATGATAGTTTCAGAAGCAAACCATATGATCTTGGAAGGAAATTAAATCACTGATTAATTAATGAATCAATGATAAATGATCAATTAATGAATCATAAATTAGTTTCTTTGACGAAATAACTTTAGCTAAGCAATTCTTTTAATTTATTGATTTATTATTAGTAATAGTCATTTAAGATTTGTTGCTTTTATTAAATAAGTTTTTTGGCTGGCTGTCTTTGCTTGTGTGTTTGCTTTTGTTTCATATATATTTGAAATTATTTTATTGCATTTTACATTTATTTATAATCAGGTTTCACGTTCTTCAAAATTTAGTTCTGCATTGATCAGCAACAGTATCCAATATAAAAAATGCATTGTGCAAAAAGTTCTGTGGTTTTTTTGATAAATACAAATGAAGCAGTACAAAAAAACGTAAGCAAATTTCATTGAAGCACATAAGCACTTTTTTGTTCTATGAATTTTTCTGTGACTTTGACATTCTTTAAAAAAGTGAACTTTGTAATCGTTCAGAGAATTTTGAAGTGACCTGAAGAGATGAAAATCTGACAGGCAAGGTCTAGTGAATATGAGAGGCGACACAAAAATCTAAACTATACTGTGCATATTAATATTCATTGAAATGGCGGTCAAGTACATGCTGGATGAGAGCAGCTCAAAAATTGGCCAGTTCTGAGTGCTTTGTTTCAATTCTGTTTTTAAAACTGTCATTTGGGAACAGTATTTTATGCAATTTATTGTGCAATTCAGTGACAATTTTTAGTTTGCAGTTCTTTTATTGTCCCATCATATGCAAAGCATTCCTTTTTGGGATGCAGTCCATTCTTGATGGTGCTAAAGGAAGTTTTCCTGGCTTACCCCATGATGATCTTTTTATTGTAATATTTTTGTATGGTATTTATTTATCTCTGGCAATGAGCCATTTCAAAAAAGCTTTTCTTTTTTTTTGTTTTTCAGAAAAGTATCACATGCCCAAACTCAAGCAAAGTATATTCTGCTGTGCTAGAGTATGAGGTATCTATACATTGTAGCAGCTTCATATCGAATCTTCTTCAAATGATCATGTACTGTACATTTTTGGTATATTTAGATTATCTGATAGTTCCTGAACTACATAACATGAATTTTCAGCGATAGCTCCTTTTAATACAGGGTTTGTCCCAAAAGTTGCCAGAATGATTTTTTTTAAATCATGTATTCAATATTAGTTTACAATCTTTTCAAAATATTCTTCCCCTGCTTTGATGCTGTGTTGCCAACACTTCACCCATTCCAATTCCAACTGAAGCTGCTCTGGAAGTCATCAACAGGAAGCTCCTTTAGTGAGGTCATCGAGGCTGCTTTTACCACTTCCAGTGTCCCATGCTGAGTTTCTTTCAGGGTTCTTTTGATACTTAGGAACAAAAAGAAATTTGCTCGTGCTAGATCGGGGCTGTATGTTGGCTCAGGTAGTATTGCCTCACCCATTTTGGCCAGCAAGTTGGAGACAACGAGCACGGTATGGGTTGACACGTTGTCAATGTGTAAAATACAATTGTCGTGAATTTTGTTTCAGATGCATCGAACCCTTGTTGCACAACTGTTTGAGCAATTTACAGTAAATCTCTTTGTTGACTGTTTGTCCTGTGGTATAAATTCACTATAAACCACGCCTTTTCTGCCAAAAATCACAATGAGCATTGCCTTGATTTGCAATATGCTTGTCCTTGCTTTTTTCGGGCGAGGAGATTCCTTGGTGCGCCACTTGCTGCTCTGACACTTTGATTCAGGATCATGTTGAAAAATCCATGTCTCGTCCCCTGTGATCACTCTGTTAAAAAATTCTGGGTCCGTTTTCTAAGTGTTCATGTAATTCCTAGCATTTCAACAAACACTGTTCCATAATGTCACCCATCAGGACTTTTGGCACCATTTTCACGCAGACTTTCCTCATTTGAAAATCCTTCGTTAAAATGCTATGAACGATAGTTTTGGGTATTTGACACTCCTTTGCAATCATCCAAACACTTAATTGTTGGTCATTATCCAGAACTTGATGCACTTTTTTCATCGAATTGTCCATTTGTGATGTAAACGGACATCTCGAGTGGTCATCCGACCCTCCTAGAATCACTTGTGCCACATGAAAGTTTGGTTATTTTCCATCACCCTGTCACTGTAGGCTTTTCAAAGCATTTCAAGCATCTCTGCCCCATTTTTACCTGGTTTCACACAAAATTTGATTGTATAACCCTGCTCCAAAAACTGGTCAATTTTTTGCTTGACAAGGTGTAGTAGATAGTGTAGTAGCATGGAGCGTGACCCTGCCTCAACAACTGTCTGCAGGCGACTGATACTAGTCTTGTTTTTCCAAGCTTAGATCCCCCACCAACTTCTTCACCTCATCAGCCAGTGTTGCCAACTATAAAAACTTGTTCCGGAAACTTCTTGGACAAACCCTGTATATTCTTGTTTGCACTGGATGGTCATCCAGAATGAATATTAGCTTCAAAGCTGAAATTTCCATGCTTAAACTTCTCAAATCACCTTCAAATTGTGTCATCAGAAACAGCATTTTGTCCATATGTAGCACACATTTTAAAAGCAGTCTGGCTAGCACTATTTTTCTTTTTTTTTTAAATAAAAGAATAAAATAATATGATAACTTCTGGTTCTTCTATCTGGTTCTATGGGTTCTTCTTTCTTAGCATTACATTGGGGGAAAAATTACATAATGCATGCAAAAATCAAGCAATAAAAGCAGAAAAGAATATCTGCTTCAATCAAGATCACTCATTATCAGGAGTAGTAAAATACTTACAAGAAAATCTGCTTTTATTTGAAAACAGCAGAACTTTCCAGATGACCTAATGTATGTCTCATGATTAGGAACGCTCCCAGTTTTTGTCACATATCCCGGTCTCCTACCAGAATGCTGAATGGTTTTTAACTTTTAGCACTTAACACACTGGTTTTTAACTTTTAGCCTGTATAATAAAAATAAGCAATAAACGAATTTTAAATGATGCAAATTTTATTCCCCCATCCCTGGTGGTCTTTAGCATAATTTTTATGAAATTTTATTTGATCTGAATGGTCTTTGTCAACTGTAGACATTTATAGAACTTTATATGAAGATGCAGCTGATATTTAATGAGTAAGTATTTGTATTTGATTTTATTTTACATCAATAAATGGCACATTACTAAGTTCAGCCACACAGTAGTATATACATTAAATTATTAATTTTATTTAATTTATTAGGAAAAATTCTGTTCATAAGTCATGGATGAAATTTTTAGAAAACAAAAGAGTTAAAACATTTGAGAACTGCTGATTCAGAAGATATACACAGTTGCATTTCTAGTTGGAATACTGGCTTTACTTCTAATCCCAAGATTAAAATTTATAACTCTTAGGAGACTGAAATTCGAAAATTTAAAAGCTGCCAAGAGAAAAGAACTTTGCAAATGCATGAGACATCTGGGATGTTTATTTGTGAAAAAAAAAAGTTTTTATTCTCATTGTGTTATAAATATTTAGAGTCATTTATCCATTTTATGATCATTTTTTATCTTAATTTTTAGAGAAATAATTAAATTGCATTTAAGTAATGGTAGCAATATTTGTTTAGTAAATTGGTCTTAATTTTGTAATAGTACTTACTTTCTGAACTTTTAATTCTTGCATACTTAACAAGAATATTTATTTTCAGGAGAGTATAAAAAATAGTAAACATTTGGTAAATGGAGATCTAGATAGAGAATTTCATGCTACCCAAGGAGATAAACTTAACCTTATCAAAGCTAATAGAAGGCATCCTAGGTCAATTACCACAGGGACTTTACAGTAAGTCTCTAGCCAATGTTTTTATCAATATTCTTTAACACAAGAACTGGACATCCAAAAACGGATGGTGTAATTACAAGACCAGTAATTAAATTTCATGAAATGAATAAGTCTGCAGTTTGGCAGTATGGGAAAAAATGAATCATCTTGACTACACAGCATTAAAATGAATGTTAACACTATTTTAATAAATTATGATATGTTTCATATTTAAAGTTTAGCATTTTTTTGTATATTTTTCAATTTTTTACATACTAATTTCTTGCATACTAATTGTTTTGTTTGGAGCATTTGTGTTACATTCTTTAATTTCATAATTGTTATATTTTAGAGAATTTTTATAGATTAATACTGATGTGAAATTTTAATATTCATCCCATGTTTACATGATCTGAGCTCAATTTACGTGACAGTTTCTTATGAACTGTCATGCATAATTTTCCCTTGAAACATGCTGCCTAATAGAGATTTGTAAATGATCCAAACTAGCTGAAAAATCAATGCAATTTTTAAAATGTATGGATTGATTTTCTTTTAGATATCGCTTTCAAAATATTGTTACATTTTTCTTCTGACACCAGTTGTTACGTTATTTTCTTCCTTCATGTTCATACAGGGTTTATAGATTTGGAATGAATAATGACGACAGTACTTGAAGTATCGTAACACACTTTATTTAGCCAATATTAATCAGGACAGCTCCTGTAAAAAGTCTGTAAAAAGACTCGTCGAAGATCTACTGTAAACACGTTGGAACAATCAGCGACACAGCCTTCAGGTTATCAGGCTGTCATGGTGGAGACAGCTTCACTGCAAAGCACCAGAGTACAGCTCCCGACTCTGCTCGGTTGTTCTCAGAACTCCACGTACTCTCGAGACTCTCCATGCCACAACTTGCGAGCGATGCACCCGACGACACACAGAGCACAGCTCCCGACTCTTCGGTTCAGTCGTTCCCGGAGCTTAACACACTTTTTCGATGATATACTAACCGCGATACACAAGGAGACTCTTCGATGTTCTCGACGACCCACTCGGCTGTCAACTCGATCGACTCCACAGGGATTGATTCGATAGACGAGATACCAACTCGATATTAACTATCTCGCACTCTAGACGAGGCACACACTCTGACTGCGGACCAGCAGGGTTTATATAGCTTTCGGCTTGTGTTCGAGAACATTCTGGGCTAAACCGGTAAGAATTCTTTCCAGAAGGTTCTCCATCCGTCCATGGCATATCGCCAATTCTGTTGTCAAATTGGCGATTTATCACCAAATGTGGTAACACTGTCTTCCCTTACCATTTTATGGCAACCCTAAACCTGCTTTGTGGGGAAGCTATCTTATCGCGCCTGGACATTTCGTAACAATATATTTTCAACCATTTTCATGACAATGTCTGGATAGGATTTTATTTTATTGATGTAACTTTTTGTTTCAGGAATTTTTATTAATGATATTGCAATTACTTAAGTACTATACAACTAATAGAACAGAATTTTATCCGCTTCTTAAGTAAAAAGTGGGGTGCAAATATATTCACATTTTTACTTATGGAATAAAACATGCTCTTCCTATCTTTCAAACTATATAGAATTCCTCCTCAAGCAGGATTTGCATTTCATACAAGAATTATTTTATCAATTATTTTATACAAGAATCATTCTTTTGCTTTTAGCTGCATGGTTCTTGTGAAAATTGATTAAAAGTCACACAAATGCATTAAAATCTGAAAACATACTTAAAAAACATACTAAAGACACTTAAGTCTCATATGGCACCAATAGATACTCTAATATTAAATTCCATTGTAAATTTAAAGAATATTATATTAATTTTTATTTAAAGAAATTAATTATGTGTAATCTTAGTTTGAAATGACCTGTGATTCCAAACAGAAATTCCCAATAATCAGATTGAAGGACTTTTATGTGAATTGATGAAATGTCAAACTGTAAGCTGAATGAGAAAAATCTTGTTTTGTATAATAAAATATAAGTTCATTATACAGGATGTCCCATAAATATTGTTACAAACGTTAAGAGGAGGTAGGGCATGTCAAAAGGATTCAGAATTGCAAATAGCAACCTATGACCACAGATATCATCATATGCTGCTAGGTGGTGCTGTTCACAATGTTTGGGTTGGTTTAATCAATCTGCTTTGTCAGGCTTTACCTGTGACATCAGCAAATTATCTAATCTTTTTGGAACTTACTTCATCCTGTGCCACAAAATGTAAGATGCAACATGTGGTTTCAACATCATGGGGTGCCTTTCCATTATTGAAGATGTTTTTGGAGACATCTGATGAGTCGTTTAGTCAGAGAAGGAATGGGCACGGTTGACTGGTGATCTGGCCCCCACGCTCTTCTGATTGAGCAGCCTGGACTTTTTTCTTTGGGGAGCACTAAAAACTGCTGTGTAGGAAACACTTGCCAACCCTGAAATGGATCTGATTGCAAGAATTATCTGTGCAGACATCCAAGCAAATCCAAGTGCTTTTTACCATGTCCACTAATTCATGGTCCAACTGTGTAATCACATGCAACATTTGTAATAGTGGAATCTTGGAACATCTTTTGTAACATTTTGAAACTGTATCATAAATATTAAACATTATTTATGAGCTAAAAATTTACTTCTGCTAAGCTTTTTCTTGTAACCTTTTATTTTTTGTATACCTGATATCACTTTCCCATGATATCTTTTGTCATGGTTCGCTTTGCAATTCTCATTCCTTTTGACGCACTTTGTACCAATATTTAGGGTACACTCTACCTATTTGTGGGATCTTCTCAGCATTAGGGGTGGAGCAGTACTTGCTAATATACAATTCATGATTAATTGCTGTTGTATCCATAATGAAGGGAAGGAAAATATTGTGAAAATATTGTTTGTCTTATAAAATTTGAATGTAATCTGAATTTTGTTTATTATTTTCACAAACCAGGTATGAACCTATTCTATTGCAAATTATTAGTTGTCATGTAAAATCAGGTATATATGCATATTATGGTGAATATTTTGTGATACTTTTAGGTAAAGCTTTCCTATTATTTAAATTGCTATCTAAATATTTTTTTTCTGTGTAATTAATTATGCATATATAACTACATTCAAATCTTACATCTGTTTAAAAAATATTTTTTATTTCTTTAACAGCTTGGATGAACTCCGTGCATTAAAAAGAACAACATCCCAGCCTCTAAGGCCATTACCTGCAGGAGGAGCTGTGCAGGCTTCCACATATGTATCGCCAACAAAACCTATTAGGGAATGCTCACGAATGCTACAGCCACCAAGCCCTCTTAATTCTCCTGCACAAAATCGAAAATACAATCAGAAACAAAATGTACCGACTGCTGCAAGTAAAAGGTGAGATTGATTTTATCCATGAATAAGATATGAAGCATTATTTATGATATAATATAAAAATTTTGTGCTTCAAACACATAATGAGTAAGTTTACTTTTTTAATGCATAATCTGAAACTGCATACTTGCCCTTCCTTAGCTTGGAACAGATAGTAGTATACATTTCTCTGTTACTTAGATTAAAAAATTAGTGTTTATTAGTAGTTGAGTGAATAAGACTGCTAAATCCTTTCATTTGATTTGGGCTGAAATTCTAGAAATAATATGGCTGTGTGGGTTTTTCATGGTTTTTACCACATGTAAGGATAAGTGAAGAAAATCCTCTATGAATTCATCCTCTCTGTAAAGATTTTTTATCCTGATAACTGTTTTTGAGTTTTCATACGGCTATTTGAAATTATCTGATATTTCAATTCACATCTTTTAATAATAATTATAATATTATTGTCTGTTGATTATTTAAGCAGATTAACAAGCATTTTCAATGTATTTAGAAGTGTTAGTGATGAGTATAATGAGAAAAACTTTTGTAATATGTTATATTACAGCTCGTTTTCTAGGAAAGACTAAGTTTTTACTAGTGAAAGTGATATGTAGTTATTAGTTAATTATTTATGTTATACTATTTGCCAAAAGTCATATTTTGGTCCTGATTAAATTTTAAAAAAAAGATGCTCTTTTTATATAATTTATGTATGATCCCTTTAGTTGATTTGTGTATGATTTATTCGATATTATCAGATAATTCTGAAATATAATTTCCTAGTTTACGTTTTTCATCCTATTGCATTTTATTAATGCACTTTATAATTTTTTTGCCATCGTAAAAAAATATAAATTTATAACTATTTCATGCTTTAAGGATGCATGAAAGATTCAAAATAAGAAATGCATCAACATCATTCGCTTCTTAGGCTGTACTCAGTAAATTGTTTTTATTCCGTTTAGTAATGAATAATTGAGATTCTGTTTTGATTTGCAAAGGTTTTTGCTTTCAAAGTAATAAAGTGTTATTGTATTTATGAAGGTTATTTATGAAGGTTTATTTATGAAGGTTTATTTTTCATTAATATTAATTTAGCATTATGGAAGGTTTAATAGTTATGCTTCATATATCTGAAAGCTTTCGGTCTTAATAAAAATTTCAGTAATAAAGAGAATTTAATCAGGATCTAGATCTTGAAAATTACTGTTTTTCTAATTTCAGTTGATCAAATATTCTAATAATTTCACAAATTAAATATTTTAATAATCATAAAATACTCTAGAATTATCATTTAAATATTTAAAAATCACAGAACATAGAATATGAATTTTTATAATTTCAAAAATTGCTGCAATTAAAGTGATTAGTTTTCTGCATTAGATTACTATAATTATAAATTCACTCAATATTGCTTGTAATTTTGAAAATTTGTATGTTAATTTCTTTAATTATTATTTTTAATTGTAACTAAGGTTTTACTTTAATTACTTTTTAGAATTAAAAAAGTTTGAAATACTTGTTTTATTAAAAATTTGAAACCATATTTATGTTTGTTCTAATTTTATAGACTGAAATAAACATCTATGCTAGTGAAACTGCTTTTTAAATAAACGTACGATTGTGTGGCATGTGCGCATAGCTGTAAAGTTTTTATATTGTGTTGTATGTGTTAAAATATTTTGTGTAACTGATATATGTATTTTCATTTACATATATATATACCGAAGCGCAGTGTGTGTTTATTGTCTCTGTATAGTGCTTGTTAAGTGTTTTTGTGTAGATATTTTATAAATTAATCATAAATTATATAGTTGCTTTGAAATAATAAGGTCTTTTTGATTTGTTTACGAGCCAGGGAAGCCAGTACTTAATATTATTTTTCTCATAAAATCTTTGGTGTTTTATCTTTAGTTTATCTTCTTGGTTGGTTTATATTTTGAAGAAAAAAAATACATATGGATTTACCAGCTTATGAAATTCTGTCACTGAAAATGTGCCATTATTTTGAAGGGTTTTATGTAAATGAATAGAGAAAAACCTGTATACCTTCTCTGTAATTGTTTACTATCAGCTCTTCATTCCGTACAGACATCGGGCATGCTGCATTCTTGAGCCGATCAGTCGTCCTGCAGTGAACCGAAAGAAAAGGCATGCAGCTTCCAAACCAACTGTTCTCTGGGATCCCAGTAGAAGCTATCTGTCTAGCAGAGCTCCTCTCTATCACCTTCGGCCCATTATCTTTCCTTCGGAACTCCATCGAACTGCTGCTAAGCACAGTTCGGTGCTCGACCCTCTCTACTACCCATCTTTTATCTCTCGATACCCGCCTTCCATTCTGTAAGTAGAATGCTGCTGCTTTGTTAGTTCCTTGCTCTGCTTGCATGCGCTGTTTTTTAGTAACATTTTTAAATAATTCATTTCATGTGCTATGCATGGATTAAAAGAGTGCAAAATTCATGGGAGTTTCTGCTTTGCATTGTGTTCATTTGGAGGGGAAAAAAAAAAGAGCTGTTTTTATTTTCCTGAATAGCAAATACACTGTGTAGGAAATGTTCTTCATGTCATTTAGCTGCACATGCATTGTCAGTGTATAAGTGGTGCTAATTGTCTACAAAATATATATGCTACAATTTAAAAAATGAAAAAAAAATTAAATTAATTTAAAGTTTACTATATTCATTTAAACTTAACTCCTTTGTTTTGTGCTGTTTATCAAGGGTTTTACAAAATTCTCATTACATTGTTTTCTTTAATTTGGATTAAAATAAGATTTTTTTTTCCTTAAATCTCAGAGATGACTCGTCCTCTTTGAAAATTATTGAAGTTATTTAATTCCTTACACAGCCATAAATTTTCTTTTCTAAATCTTTTAAATGCAATAGCAGTAGGATGCAGATTGCTTCTTCATTTTTTAAAAACTTATTACTGTAATCTTCTGTAGCAGAAGTTCTCTGTTCATTGAATTCAGAAGCAAAAAATAATTTAATAATTTGCATCATTATTAAAATACTACATGTGAGGCATGACTAATACACAAAGGGAAAATTTATACAGAGAATATTTATGCAAGGAAGATATTTGCACAGAGAAAGTAAATGAAGAAAATTTGCCCACAATTATTCAGACAACTGAAATTAAAGGGAAGAATATTTAAGAAATTATTTCCAGATAGTATATTTGTAGGCCATTGCTTGCTATGATTGTGCCAGTTGTAGAAAATTTTTTTCCTGATATATGAACCCCTAGCAGCCTATCTGCTCAATCCATCAAAATGAAATTTCAGGTATTGTTATTTGACGGTATGTACTCGAGGTTGTGATGATTTTAAACGACAGAGCTCTCGCAATTATGATTACAGAAAAATTTGTTTTGGAATTTTTGAATGACAACACCCACTTTTTTCCTGCACAAATTGATCATTGTGCGTTGAAGAACCGTAAACAGCACTGGAATAATACATGTAGTATATATGAAGATTGCTGGCATAAAGCATTTGCAAAGAAGAGCACTGTAATGGACCAAGGATAATACAAGAGAGGAGGGAGGGGGGACTTTTATTGGAATTTACAAGTTTTCAACATGCCACCCTTCGCAGAGAATAATACATTGCATGCAGGACATTGTTGACACAATGATAAATGCAACATCACAGGAAATGTTTTTTTGACATCTTTCAGTTCTGACAAATCTTGTGGATTTGATGTGTACTCCATAGATTCGAAGTAACCTCAGAACCAGAAATCCATAGGAATGAAGTTGGGCTAGTATGATCACCGTGAAATAGCAAAGTTACGGGAGATGATTATATCTCCAAATTCAATTGCAGCACTTATATGCACTCTTCCACACATGTGGCAATGTGTGAAGGAGCACCAGCTTGCATCTATGCAATGTCATTAACTACATTTCACTGTTGCAATTCCACAACATTCTTGTGTAATGAGCTATTGCGAGGGAGTGCGTTTTCATACCTGTGGAAGTAACCTCTTCGAAGAAGTGCGGACCAAGGATGAATGTGCTTGCGATGTTACACCACACAGTCACTTAAAATTCATGTAAAGGTGCTGGTGCTACTTTGTGAGGATTTCATCAGCCTAGTGAATGCAGTTCTTACAGTTTATATCCCAATCAAGGAGAAATGTATTTCATCCATCCATAATACCTACAGTGGCAGCTTTCTATCTTCATCATGTCTGGTGAGGAAAAAATTCATGAAGTCTATGTGCTGTTGCTCATCACCAGATTGCAACATCTGGACATGTTGGAATCAATAAGGAATCTTCTGCAGAACAGATCTCGGAAGCTTGAGACTTTGTTTTTTGGTACGTCCAAACTGTGGGCAATATTTCTTGAGGTATGCAGTGAACCTGCAGTAATCATCCAGTTTCTTCAGATTTTTTTACTGAATTATGTACAGTTTTTAAGGAACATGGGCCTTGTCTTAGCTTATGATTTCTGCGACAAACTCGCAGTGCTTTGGCACAATTTTCCCCTTTCAGATAAAATGGCTTTATCAATTCACCTCTTTATTTTCCTGTAAGTTGTCAGCATATTTGAAGACCTATTTGAAGAAACAAGATTCCCACACTGCTTATAAAAGATTTTCTATAAAGCAATACTTTGCACGTGGTGATCTGTGATTGGTGCTTCTATTGTCTATCCCTGTGAATTATGAAATGTGCATCATTGCACATCTTTTCTGTGTTGTCACTGATCCTTTACAATGCTCTTCTTTGCAAATGTTTTATGTCAACAGTTTTCATCATATGTGTACTGTTCCAATGCCATTTATGGTTTTCCAACAGGCTGATTAATTTGTGCAGGAAAAATGTGGGAGTTGCAATTAAAAATTTTTGAAGTTTTTTCACTGTAACCGTAATTGTTGGAGCTATATAATTTTAAATCATGATAATCTCAAGTGCATATCTTCAAATAACAGTAGGAAATTTCATATCACCTGGTTGAGCACATAGCCCACTAAGTGTTCATATTTGGTGAAGTTTTCTTATGACTACCCTGTATTTACTGTGATGTATAAATAAGTGAAACATCATTTATCATACAGATGTTCTCCAACTTCTCTTTGATTTTCATTTTCATCGTAACAAAAAGTTCTGTTTTGCAGTCATAAATTCAAATTTTTATATTTTCTTTTCTGTTGTGTTGTACTCTGCCCAACATCCAGTTCTTGAATCACTGTATTTGTGACAGATTCTTTTTTTCTGCAGTATAATAAATATTCTTAAGTTTATTTTTATTGTTTGCATAACTGCAGACCAGTTTTTCTTTTATTCATATTATTAGTGCCGTTTAATTCATTGCAATTCTGTTTGAATTTTACCTTTATGAATTTTCCTTGGATACATATTCCCTGTGTGAATTTGCTTATGTAAATATTCCCCATATCTACGGATTTAGAACTATATTTCTATAATTTTAATGAATAGTTAGGTGATTCATAACTGTTTTATATTTTGTTAACTAAAAATATTCATAATTTCAATGAATTTAAATTAGGTGTATCCATTTTAAATAAACTTTTGGAGAAGCAGAAACCTACCATATTTTGCTCTCTTTTGAATCTTTATTTTTGCTTTTCATTTATGTAAAGCTGTTCTACATTATATTTCTCCTTCTCTGAGTTACTTTTAATCATCTAGATATCCTGTTAGAATTTTATGGGTACCTTGAAATTAATACATTCATACTCTAACATAATTACATCTGAGCTTGTCTAACTCATTTTCTGTTTATTAAATGAAGAATCAGATATGAAGTGTCCTGTATTCCTTGTATTTCTTAATTTAACTATTGTCATTTCCATGAAAGCCACTTAATGACTACCTTAAATAGGTGGATTACTAAGGAGTCAAAACTTGCATCATTGATTATGCATATTTCCTTGCCATTTTATTCACCAAAGAAGGAAATTACACAGCACAGAGGTTGAAGTAATAAACAATGAGTGTTAAGAGTGTAATGTTATGAATGGAGACAAAAGTAAAAGCATCATCTATATTAGCATATATTTATTAATCACACAAAAGAACATGGTAGAAGATATACATACGAGGGTAAGTTGAAAAATAAGTTTCCCCTGTCGACTGTGGTCAGAGTTGTGTATGAAAGTCAAAAAAATAGAATGAGACATTAAAGATATGACATACCTTTATTTTTCCACATAGGTACCAAGTACATTGAGACATTTGTCATATCGCTTGATAAGCTTCAAAAAGCCCTCCAGGAAAATATCAGGGCTTTGCATATGGAAGAAGCGTTGAACGGCTTGTTTCACTTCAGTATTGCTTCCAAAGCGCCTTCCTCCGAGATTTTTCTTCAAAGCCTTCAAAGCGACAGATGGAAGTCGCTTGGTGCGAGATCAGGACTGTATGGCGGATGGTGTAGGCGTTCCTGACCAAGAGTTCCAATATGGTTTTGCGTTGCCGTCGCCGAATGTGGTCTGGCATTGTCATCCAATAGCAGAACGCCAGATGTGAGAAGGGCAGGCCGCTTTTTCCGAATCGCGTCTTTCAATTCGACAGGGTGTCACAGTAGCACGTAGCATTGATGGTTCCAACCTCCAAAAAGTCCAGCAACAAAACTCCTTGGGCGTCCCAGAAAACTGTGAGGAGCACTTTACCTGCAGAGAGAGTTGTCTTGAACTTCTTTCGGACAGGTGATGATGGATGTTTCCACTCCATAGATGCGGCCTTCGATTCTGGTGTGAAATGGTGGACCCACGTTTCATCCCCCGTCACAATCCGAAACAGAAAGTCATTGCCATCTTCATGGTAACGCACGAGATGTTCCAGGCTGACCCCTATGCGTTGTTCCTTGTGTGTCGAGATCAATTGTCGGGGCACCCATCCTGCTGACACTTTTCTGTATCGAAGAATGTCGTGGATGATGTTTTGAGCTCGCTCATGTGAGATTCCAAGTTCTTCCGCTACTTCATGGCTGGTGATACGCCGGTTCGCTCTAATCATGTCATCCACCTTCCTGACATTTGCATCTGTAGTGGCCGTGCGTGTCCGTCCAGCTCTCGGTATGTCCTCCACTTGCTGACGTCCATCACTGAATGTGCGACACCATCTCCGCACCATTTACTTCGACATCACACCTGGCCCATAGACTTCCACGAGGCAGTTATGAATTTCTGTTCCTGATACTCCACGTGCCCATTCATAGCGGATAACCGCTCTCACTTCCTCCTTTGACCACGAATTCAAAATGCACCTTCTCTCCATACCTACCAGGGCCCAAATGAGAGGCTGGTCTCCGCTTTGTGCAGGCACTGCAACAGCGCCATCTGATTGATTTGCAGTGACCTCTAACCA